AAAATATGTTTATCAAATAAAGTCTAGTGTTACAACTAATCGGGGATCTCTTTAAATGTACATAATGATCCTGCATTTTTGACATCACTCCCCAAATTATTTCATAGTTTTATTCCTTCAATTAAAGTACACCATTCCTTCAAACTAGTTCTGAATTTGGGTTTTACAAATATCTCTGTCCCTTTAAGGATAACAACTCTTTCTCTTAACAAAAATGTACTTGGATGTTTAATGCATGTGAAATTCAAATCAGATCACCCAGTGCCACAGACAGGAAATCTGGTTTTATTGATTTATTTTGTTGAAAATTTGAAAAGCAAATAAATGCAATGTCTTCTTTCTTTTTTTAATTTGTTTCAGTTTTGCCTTCACTCTCCTGGCAGCTCTGCCTTCCTCTGTCAAGCTGCTGACACAGCCCACTTTCTGGCACTTTAAACTGGCCTTGGTGAGTTTAATGCGACCCATTTCATGTCCAAACAAAAGCCTCCTGTTATAACAGAGAAGTTATTGAGACACAAAATGATTTATTTGATTTATTAAGCTTGACAAAAAATGTTTTTTGTTTTTATTTGCTAGTTCTCTGTGTCCCTTTCTTGTTAACATTCCTAAATGTACATTTTTTTGCAACTTTTTCCTCGCAGGTGAACTCGTCTTTGGCCTTTTTTCTCTTCTCCTATCAAGTCCACGAAAAGTCCATCCTACTGGTTTCCCTGTAAGTTTTGTATTCAAAGCAATGACGAATGTAGATTTTAATAATTACTCCCAAAGGAGCCATTCAGCTAATCCCAGCTGTAAATCTGAGGCTATGCCATTCAGGTGGTATGTAACTTCTATATGTCTGCACCTGGTAAAGCCACATTAACCCCTCTGCTTTTGTCACAGAGCTGCGAGGCAACRCTTCTATTTAGGTCAAAGCTTTCTGACAGTGAGGTTATTGACCTCTGTCATTACACTGCCCGCCGCGCAGACACAAACCCCGCTGCTGTTGTCATATAATGTGTTAACGGAGAGCTGAGTTGCACGGTAAATGTAAAAGTAGGCACGTGCGTGGCTCGTTATTGATTATTTATACGCACAAAGCTGTAGAAAGAGACTGAAACGAAGATAGACTTGACAGAGAGGGATCTGGTTCCTAGATCTGAGCTCGTCTATTAATCTAGATTAGTGTAGATTGTTGCTTTATTAACTATTGAGTTTTATCTCCCCACCTGTCTCCCTAAACCAATCAGTAATGCATGTCCAGAGATTAGGAGAGAATAGTAGGCAGCAGCTCGGGGTGTTGTTTGCACAGGATCAATTATTGGGCTGTAACAGGATCGCCAAAGAGCGCTGACTGTAATYACGGGCTCGGGGACCGATGGAAAGTGCTCCTTCTAGAGCGAGTGGAGATTAACAACACTTTTATACACAGATGCACACACATTTGAGGCAAGTGGGTTATAACTTTATAACTGAATTTTTTTAACACATTCAGAAATATTGAAATTGTTTAGTATCAACTTTAAGAAAGTCTTTCACTGACTATCTTTAAGGCTCATCTGAAACATCTGAAGGATCATCAAACTTTTAACCTGTGTATATTTATTTATTAGGGCTGCAACATTACATGTACCCATATCGAACCGTTCAATACAGTGCTTTAGGTTCAATACACACTTGTATGGAACAATACAGATTTTTAAAATTTATTTTATCAACAAGTCTTCTGAAGATGCTCTGTGTTGAAGGATGAGTGGATCTGTGTTCAACTACTCCACCTAGGCTGCATTTCTGAGCGCAGATCCACTGAGAAACTTGCTTTTTCAGCAACGTTTAATTAATAAAACTGTACTTTTGAAGTTAAACAAATGGTCATAATTAATTTCATTAAATTACAAGTTAAAAAGGGCATGGAAATTTCACTTTTATGTATCGAAAAAGTATCGAACCGTGAGACTTAAGTATTGAACCGAACCGAATCGTGAATTTTCTGTATCGTTCCACCCCTAATATTTATCGTTGTGATTTGTTTCCCATCCAAGTCATCTCAACTTTGCCATGCTTCTCCTCCTGCGTACTTTGTCCTAGAGCTGCCATTGTAATTTATATCTGTAAAGCTCCTGTGCCAAATGATG